CATAACTCTTTGGAGGAAAGGCAACAATACAAACCCAAAATATTAAAGTTACAGTTTAGTAAACATACAGCATATCTATGTAAGGGGTCATTTGATCAAAATGTCTCCGAATAATGTCAGGTCTTAGGCATTTACCTGTTTATAAAGTGCGTAGAGTTTTAGCTTCACTTCATTTCCTGGATCCTTCTTCAAGAGTTTCACCTGATTCATTGCATTTTCAAAGTCCTTCTGACTGGCTCTCATTGCTGTTCCGCTCATGTGCAGCTGAACTGCCGGGAAACTAACAGCCTGCAGAGGACTACAAATAGGAGGAGACTGATTTCCACTCGTTCCCAGCCTTTACATTTCTGCAGCCTGACTCCTAATTGTTCCCAACCCTTATAGACCAAAACACCATATAATTATCTTCTCTATACTTGCCTCAGCCAGCTGGCTACAAACGGTTTGCAGTCATAATTCCTAGATAAGAAATCAACACGGCAGCTAACTGTGTGAACTTCACTGTTTCATCCTTTTCTTCTGACTCAGGGTGCAAGGGTCAGGTTTAGTAAGACTTAAAAAGACTCCCTTCTTAAAAAAAAAATAAGAAGCTAACTGTGGTAAATTTAAGATAAAAAAGAAGGTAAAATCAAGTGGGGTCTTTGTAAACAAGTACAATTAAATAAAGATAAAAGCAGATAAAACTCGAACAGCCATGTAAATTCTGCCACAGGCAGGACATAAAAGAACAGCATGCAGAGTAGAGGAGGGCAGGTGACCAAGAGGGTAAAGGACATGGTATTTCATCATCAATGTCCCAAGAGCTGGAACAGCCTCTGGCCTCACTGATTAACAAAGTATAAATTATGTCAGGTCAATTCTTGCCTCTCTGCTCACAGAATGTGTCCCAACATACACACAAATGGAAGGAGGGAAGAAGGAAGATATAAGATATATTCCAAAGGACAGATGAGCAGATGCTGGCATTCCAGAGAGCCGCAGCCTTCTCAGCAGCTGGGAGGGAATCCACCAGTGGTGGAAAGTAGTCAGCCTGGGTTCAGCAGGTATACTCTATCCTTATCAAGAAAACATGGAAGATGTTTAACCAGCTAACCAGGAGCAGAGAAGAAACGGCAAGCACTGACAAGTGAAAAGCAAGGTTTGTTTTTTGTTTTGAGACAGGGTCTTGCTCTGTTGCCTTAGGTAGAGTGAAGTGTGGTGGCTTCCCAGTAGCTCACTGTGGCCTTGAACGCAAATGACTCCTGCCTCAGCCTCCAGAGTAGCAAGGATTACAGGTGCATACCAACATGCCTAGCTAATTTTTCTGTTTTTTGTACAGACAGGTGTGTGTGTGTATACCTCTTGCTCAGCCTGGTCTTGAACTTCTGGCCTCAAGTGATCCTCCTGCTTTGGTTTCCCAAAGTGCTAGGATTACAGGCCTGAGCCAGCTTGCTGGCTGAACAGAAAGTTTTTAACCACATGCAGTGGGGTGGGGTGACCTTAAGTGCAAAGTATTGAGACCATGAGCAAAAAATGGATGTTCATAATGATGATCTTGAATAATGAAGTTAATGGTAACAAAGATGATTAAAATAATCAAGT